CTATTTTAGGCTTGGTGACTGACGCGTGGTTCATTTTTGGTCTCTGACTTAATGTCCTTGAGCCTTAGCTTCCCCTTTAGGAATGGAATTCCTATTGCTCAAATCTCATACTGAAGCTTAATCGACATTTACAAAATGGAGGGCCAACTAGAAAGTCATAGCCACAAAAGCTAACCTAAGAGCCGTGCAGCTAATTAAATCTCCAAATTATTAGCCTTGCTACTGACTGCAAAGGTGACTAGTGCAACATCAACTCCAAAAGCACAAAGGCAGCAACTTCAAGTAAGCTATGAAGCGCCCTGAAAGTAAATTTCTTCTTCAGGGTAAAGTCACAATATAAATAGATGCCGTTTTCATGTATTTTTAGATTAACTACAACATGTGAATGGAAAATAAAGAACTGACGAAGAAAACAGAGTTGGGTGTCTGTGGTTCCTGGCCACCAAGGGCTTACCAATGACTCAGTGAGTAGAGGGATATGGGGTCACCTGGCCCTAAAACTAGGACCCACGGCTGTTGGCACCCAGTTGTTGCTATCTTTGGCACCTCCATAGAAGGGCAACAATCAGCAGGGCTGGTTACTAAATTCTGCATCATACTAGCTCAGCCCTCCTCCCTGACCCTGGTGTGCAGATCTGCTCATTGAGACTGACCGAAGCAGTATCCTTTTAACGGGGCCCTTTCTGATACCTTGCACTGAAACATGTAAGTAATTTCATTTTCCTCCAGCTTAGATCAATGCTCACAGCTGATTCTTTTCATCACTTAAGGACTCTCACTACCTACAAATAAATATTCTGACAAAATAGCTGTCTATGAAAAATGGCTTTGCTCTTTAGTTTTTTTCCCATAAGTGCTCGGTATCAAAGCTCAGAAATAACACACCAGTATTGTTTGCCACAGAATCATTATTGTTATAATAGGGCTTAATTCAAAGCTAATAGGAAGCTTTATTGAGTGAATCATGGTAATTTGTTCTTTAATTCCATTTCAGAGTCAGTGCCTCTTCACATTCAGGAATTAATTTTTTAAATCAAGTCTAAATCATTTCTATCAAAAGTTAAAAGCACAGAGCACGAGCCACAAAAAACATCCCAGCCTCAAGAATCATAATTCAGGGTCGGCAGAGTAATAGCATGCAAATTACTTACAAAAATGTGAGCTTTGACTGCTAGGTTGCCAGGAAAAAAAAAAAAAACTATTCAGAAGCAACTGCAATAAAACTTTCTACAAATTCTGTGGTTCTTTCTTTGCCTTCCTTCAGCGCACAGGTGCTCCTACAGGGCCCAGAAACCCCAGCATGACTCTTGTCTATATTTAGTGTTAATTTAGCCAAGCAACGTAAGATCCCAAATACTAACTTTTCTCAAAAGGTCTGAGGTTTTTCGTGAATATATTACCGAAACTATGCTTTAAAAAGAAAAAGCCACCCTGCCTTGATTCAGTTGGTAACTGATGAGGTTCTTATTGGACCCAAGTTCATGTCCTTATTTGGCTCCTGTGTCTGTGTAAGCGGACACATTTCTAGCGCTCCGGCCCTTCTATGCTCCCATATATGAATATCCAGTAGCGGACTGGAGCTGCCATTCTGACAACTAACCTGCAGAGGACTCCGGGCCAACCAGAGGACGGCAATCAGCAAGGACAGAGTAAGGGTGTGGTATTGACTAGGGGGATGGCGCGGCGGAGAGTTCCTAGGGCTTCCAGGAGCTACGAAACAGGACTGTGAGTGGGAGATTGTATGGCTTCAGACCCACCGCAGGCGAGGGAAGCACTTGGTCTCATCCACTTCCCTCTCTACTCTACTCAAAGGCTTTATTTACTCTGTGGGTTTTAAGGCATGCTCCTTTCTCAGGAATGTCAGGCTCTGTCTTGTGTGGCTCCCTCACACACATGCCAAGGAGCTTCTGCCCTCTGCTGTACATAAAAGGAGCTACAGTGAGTCCCATTTGCCGGCCATGGGGACAGGCTATCCCTGCAGGACGCCGAGGGCTAGGTAGTAAACTGATTCGCAGTCCTTCCGAATCCCACCGTCCACTGCCACTTCCAAATGGACATGATTCGTCCTTGAAACATTTTGTACCTCATTGAGAAAATGTTTGCTTCACAGGACTTCCTTTACATTTATATTCAGTACGGAGCTCACTCTACTTTTAGGGGAAAGGAATGCCTTTTTCTTAGCCCTCATCGGTACCAGCGGACCAATTCATGGAGGAAGACGATATAACTAGTAACCGTCTTCTCAGAGGTATATTGTACAGTAAAAAGTTATGCCAAATTCCATGAAAAATGAAAATGTTTGTTTGCTATTATCATCCTGTTTTCGAAATAATCTCCATACTACCTATCTTAAACCATCAAACTTTTGAAAAAAATAATAGAATGGCCTCATTTTGAGCATTTAGTTTTTCTCTCTCCTATAGCCTTACCACCTGTGAAGTATCAATCCCCCTTCAGGGATGAGGAAGATGGAGCCTAAGCAATTCCTTACACCGAAATCCGAATAAAACCATGGTGGTTTTTTTTAAGGATTTTATTTATGTATTTGAGAGAGAGATCACAAGCGGGGAGGAGAGGGAGAGAAAGGCTCCCTGCCGAGCAGGGAGCCCGATGCAGGGCTCGATCCCAGGACCCTGGGACCATGACCTGAGCTGAAGGCAGATGCTTAACCAACTGAGCCACCCAGGTGCCCCTGAATTTTTAAACCAGTGAAGGGGATGGAAGTTTTTATGGCTTATGACCAATCGTCTCCAATTTTCTAGAGAACCACATTAAGAGCAAAGCAAGAGGACATACCTCATTTTATCTATTACATACCTGAAAGAGCACATCAAGAACAGTTCAGAGCCACAAGAAAATAGGTATTCCCACCTGAATTATCTGGGGGCATCTGTATTTGACTTTTATTTCAAATACTTTATTCTATCTAAATTCAACTCCCAGGAAATTCAGTAAATGTCATCAGACTTGGAATGCTTTCATGGAATGCTTGTTTGCTCCAAAATTAATGTTTGAGCTTCAAAATAAAGAACTTAGTAGGCAGGGACCCTTTTAAATTCCTTTAAACCAGCAAGATTAATGAAGAATCAAAGAATGAACTGGTCTATCATACACCATTTTACTACTTTCCAGAAAACTCAAACATTTGTATAGAATCCCTTGTTGAGCAACCACCCTTAATTTCATGAAAATGTACCCATCTATAAACTTAATATGCAGATTAACACTCATTTCTCTCTTCTTCCTCCTAAAACCCCAGTAAAAAGGCAGAATAGGAATAAAAATTACAAAACCACAAGAATGAAAATTGGAATACTGAACAAGATTTCAACAAATATATTGAATATGGAAGAGAACGTGGTTGTTAGCCTGCCTTGGCAGGACTCCAGAGGACGATCACTGATGAGTGAGGGGAATTGCAGAATCCAGGCAGGCTCAGGAACTGGAGGCAACATGAAGTATGGAGCTAAACACAGGCAGGTCATTTCATGAACACTGGAAAACTGCGTTACAGAAATCTCCCAGAAAGAAAAATATATGAATGAAAAATAAGGTCAGAGGCTCAATCCAGCAGCTCTAGTTATGTCATGGGGTTTGGGCACAAAGAAAATGTGTGTGTGTGTGCGTGCGCGTGTGTGTGCGCATGCGTGCGCACGCGCGCGCTCAGTTGGGTTTTTTGGTTTGGGGGTGGGGTGCGGTGCAGGGCAGGGTCAAGAACTTACAAATATTTTCCAGATTGCCAGGGGCCACCAAACCACAGTATCATACAATTTTAGAATGCTAGAGCCTCTAACAAAAAAAAAATCAGAATAAAAACTGTACAACACTTTAGAATAGAGCAATGCCTTTGAAATTCTTATCTACCTCAAGTTTTATATACCAATCCATACTACCTTTCAGACATAGCAGTACTCTCAAAGTAACTGACCTCCCATGCACCCATTCCCAGTTACTCAAGGAAGGAAGTGTTCTACTTTAGCAAGTAATCTAATAACCAAGACGTAGGGCTCAAGAAATGCAGATTCCAGCCCGAGAGGAAAACAAATCCCAGGATGATGAAGTCTCAGGAAACAGCTCTCTACATGGGTAAGAAAGAAATTAGTTTAGACTGAAACAAGTATATGGTAGAGCTTTGACCATGTCAAAAACAGATTTAAAGAAAGTTTTACCTATTTGAGACTGTTTTGGAAGAATTAGTGATGTGTATGTAAAACCAAGACAAAATGTTGAGAGTGGAAATAGAAGCACAGTAAACTAGTTCAGGAATGAACACAGAAATATGGTCGCTATAATGCAACGATGCCAGTTTAATGAAAAAATACTGGGAGAATGAGAAAAAAGTAAAAAGGCAGAAACCTTCATCTATCAAATAGGAAGCTGTCAGAGGTTTGTAAACATAGTAAATTAATAAATAGGCAGTATAAGCCTATTACTCAGAAACCTGAAACCAAGGCGCTAGGAAAAACCTCAAGGCTGAAATGCCCCCTAGGGAATGTTAAAGGACGAGCCAGGAGCTAACATTTTTCCTTACAATCTTTGCAGTACCATTAAGCTATGTATATAGATTTTAATAAAAATTCATTATTTAAAAGTATGTATACATACAGGAAATTGACAATTTGGGGGGCAAAAACACTACTTGCAATCTCCTTTCCACAGTTCTAACCTACTTGGGAGTACAAGGAGGTGACAGCATGCACACTCAAGTTCTGGATTCCAAGGCAGTCTTCCTCTGCACCCGATCTGAGGGGTGGGCCGGACACTGGCAGCAGCAAGAGCGCCCCCTCAGGCCAGCCCATGTGCAAGGAGGGGCCCCATCAGACCTCCCAGAGATGTGGAAAATGCAGGAGAGGAAAAACGCTAGTTTGTGAAGTACCTTCAATGATTTTGGTTCTTCTCTACAGTGTACATGCTTCCCCACCCCTCGTGCCTTATTAGTTTTCTGCACTAATACCAAAGAAATGATATGCTACAATATTATTCTACAGTAATATTCCCAATGACATTGCTACATTTTTTTCATTTATTTTCATGTGTCCAAATATACAAAGTAAGTTCTGTCTCACTCCCTACCTAGGTTGGTCATTTTGAACGCTACTTCAGACCCATAAATGTTTCTTCTACTAGAAAAGAAGCACTTTTTATAAAAGATCTTTATTTCAAAATACAAGAATATAGCAGATAAAATGTGTTAGTACCCTCAGAGGTCAACGTTAGCAGCCTTTCTGGCATATGTTAATTCTTCATGAACTCTCAAAAGCTGGACTGAATGACCTTTAAGTGCAGCTGTTAAGGTCTCATCGAATAAATTCTCTATGTTGATCCCAGTGACAAAATTAAATTAGGTTCCATTTAAAAATTAAAATACAGCAGCTTTTCCAGAAGAACTAGCTCCCAAAACTGTATCCAGAACTCACCTAACATCTTAAAGTTAAATACCTTGTATATTTACATCATTATAATCAATATTTTTGGACAACCGCAGTATAATAAATTTAACCTTGAGTAATAGTTTTCCTCATTATGAAATCAAGTGAAATACCGTGTTTTTGCTCTCTTCATAAATAGAAAATGACTAAACATTACACTTTATTTATGTTTAATGATTTACAGAGAATATTCAATAATCAGAACTCACCATTTGCAATACTGTACACATTAAATTATAATATAACCTGTTACAAAAGCTATCTAAGCTGACCCTAGATAAAAACTGTCTCTAATTTAAATACATTAGAAATTACAAAAAAAAAAAAATTAGAAAGTGGTCTTCCAACTGCTGAAAATCTAGAAGAATTCTCCAACATCTGCTCTCTTATCTCGACATTTGCTTCGAGCTTTCGTTCGAGCTTTGAAGGCTGCGGAGTTATACAGGTGCTGAAATGAAGCAAAGGAAAACACATGCGGATCACTAAAGCTTAAGATACTCTGATAAAGACAAGGATGAATAAAAATCACAAAGGAAAGAAATGAGCTAACTCAACCTTATCAATATTTTAAATGTTTATAAAACACACACAAAGAACAAGAGGGAAAATTAACACATAATAAAGAAAAAAATATTAATCAAATATGTAAAATACCAAGAAAATTCCAACAAAAAGTTTTAAAAAATGCATCACCATTTAATCTGATCAAAGAAAAAACAAATCATGAACTAAAGTGAACATACCCAAAATATTAAAAGAGCAAAGAAAAAAATAAGGTTCCAACTTAATGCCAATTAAACTAACAAATGTTTTAAATCATAAAACTCAATGCTGTCAAATATGTAATAGCTACATGCCTTCATTCATTACTAGAAATAATTAAAAATGACAGAATAACTTCAGAAGGTAATTTGGCAGTACATATCAAAAAAGTCATAATCTGGCCCTATATTCCCATGTAAAGATTTCTTCAGAAAAAAAAATTCAAAAGAGAAATAATTAAAGATACTAATATTAATCCAACAATTATATGACCATAAAAATGATTAACTATAAAGAGCCTATAAAAATATAATTAAGCACTTCAGGGGCGCCTGGGTGGCACAGTCGGTTAAGCTCCGACTTTTGGTTTCGGCTCAGGTCATGATCTCAGGGTTTTGAGATCAAGCCCCACATTGGGCTCTGCGCTCAGCATGGAATCTGCTTGAGATTTTCTGCCTCTGCCCCTCCCCCAAATCACACACTTACATGCGCTCTCCCAAATAAAATCTTAAAAAAAAAAAATACATATATGATTAAGCACATCACTCCCACTAGGTATGGCTATAATTTAAAACAAAACAAAAACAAAAAAGCCAGAATAACAAGTGTTGATAAGGATATAGAAATTGAAACTCTCATATACTGCTGGTGGGAATGCAAAATGGTTCAGTCCCTATAGAAAATAGTTTGGCAGTTCCTTAACAAATTAAACATATAACTACCATATGACCCAGCAACTCCATTCCTAGGTATATACCTAAAAGAATTGAGAACAGGGCGCCTGAGTGGCTCAGTTGGTTGGGCGACTGCTCATGATCCTGGAGTTCCAGGATCGAGTCCCGCATCAGGCTCCCTGCTCAGCAGGGAGTCTGCTTCTCCCTCTGACCCACCCCCCTCTCATGCGCTCTCTCTCATTCTCTCTCTCTCAAATAAATAAAATCTTAAAAAAAAAAAAAAGAATTGAGAACAGGTGCTCTAACAAAAACTTGTACACAAATGTTCATAGCAGCACAATTCACAATGGGCAAAAAGTGGAAATAAGCTAAATGTCCATCAATTGATGACTGCATAATCATGTGGTGTATCCACACAACGGCGTATTATTCAGCCACAAAAAGGACTGAAGTACTGGTATGTGCTAGAACATGGATGACCTTGGGCAACATAATGCTGAATGAAAAAAGCCACACAACAGGTCACACGTTATTTGAGCCTATTTATATGAAACATCCAGAAAAGGTAAATGCAGAGACAGAAAGCACACAAGTGGTTGCCAGCAAGTGGGGGGGGATGGGAAGTGGATGCTTAAAGGTATAAGTTTCCTTTTGAGGTGATGAAAACATTTTGAAACTAGACAGACAGTTGTACAACATTGTGAGTGTACTAAATGCCCTGAATTGTACACTAAAATAGCTTATGTTATGTGAATTTCACCTCAATAAAAACATAAAAATACAATTAAGGATTTTTAAAGAGTTAAGTGACATTATAAGTAACATTATAAACTCTCTAAACCATGTTTCCTTAACTTGCAAAATAAATCTGGTACTTATTAAGTAGGTTTAGTTATCTGATACAAAAGAAGCACTATGTAGTAAATATTTATTCTTTATAAAGGAGTTAACAGAATAAAAGAAAACAAAAAAGGAAAATACTTCCTATGTTAATAGGATTGTGGATAAAATTTATTCATTACAACCCCTCCATACTCTAAATGCAGTGAAGTTTCTACAATCTTAATACAGCTGTTGTATCTGAAACAGCATGAGGCACTAAAGGCCCCCCAGACTCCACTATATACCTATCGCCTGCCTGGTAGAATCAAAGCATCAGCTCCGCTTTTCTTCAATGCACTTAGTTCTGATGAAAACAAAAACAAAACCTACCCTTTCAAAACGAGAAATCTTCATCGTTTTAAGTGTTGCAGCATCAAGCATCACCGGGGGTCCAAGTTCAAATACATTACGAAGGAATTCATTTGACTTCGGTAAAATAGAAAGGTAATAAGGCTCATTATTAAATATCAGCTCTTTTTTACTACATAAAATCAAATCTGATTAACAGAAGTTATGTGGAGCTTATAAATAAGAACTTAGGTCACTTATTTTCTGTTTCTCTTTTTAAGACTAAATTGTTTCTAATGCCTTGAATCCAGTAAAGTTACAAGGAAAGCAACAGCGCTCTACCGAGTTTATAGATGCTCCACCGGATTTATACAATACAAAAAGAACAGTTTCATACTTACTCAATTCTACTTTAAAAAATAAATGTAAAATAAATTAATAAAATGTAGTTTTGTACTATGCTGAAAGCATTCTGCCCACTCAATGAACTACATTCAAAACTGCTCCCTAATTTAAAAGCAAACACACAGAAAAGAGGTCACTCACTCACCTGCAAATGATACTGCATCCCTGATCCAAGAACTTCCTTAAAGGTGTCATAGGTATGTTTTTTGACCCAGCAATCAATATACATTCGTTCAGGGCCAAATTTAACAGTTTCTGTTGGAAAATCCCGTTCCTAGACAACAGAAGAACCAAAATTTCAAGAGGAATTAAGATGACTTAAAGAGATCCTACATAAATACAATTTCTAAACAGACACATTTATGTGCTGAGGTAAGAAAACAGTATGGTTTAAACTGGTATTTCCATCCCTGAGATGTGAAGAGACTAGAAAGTACTATCCTAATAAGGGTATAGAGCTTGTCTAGTTGTCACAGACTTGGCACAAGTGAGTTCGGATAAATATTACTGGCAAAACCACATTTTTGTGACTGTCTTTAAATTTCAATAGCACTCAAGAAACCTGAAGAAAAAAAAAACAGTTATCTGTACTGGTCTACAAATGGGGGGTGAGGTGGGAAGGGAGGAGGAAGAGGTGGAGCTGAGGGGAAGCAGGGTGGAGGGAACACAAATGGGGTTAACAGACCAACCAAAAAGTAGAGGACCAACAACTGGAGGGCTCCAAGGGTCTAAGAGCAAGCTTACTAAGAAAACGAGAGCAGGTGCGACTGGGTGGCTCAGTCGGTTAATAAGCATCTGCCTTCAGCTCAGGTCATGATCCTGGGGTCATGGGATCGAGCCCCACATGGCTCCCTGCTTATTAGCAGGGAGCCTGCTTCTCCCTCTCGCTCTGCCTCTCCCTCCACTCGTGCTCTAATAAATAAAACCTTAAAAAAAAAAAATGAGAGGGAATACCTGAGTTTAAGACTTCAGAGATGGAACAATTTTGCCAGAAGACAATTTCTAAAGTATGACCCTGAGAGAGAATCAAGTCAATGGAAATAAATGGAAGTAAAGATCACTGGAACAAATACAGGATAGGGTTTTCCAAATGCACAAAGGAGTTACCCAGAATAGGGGCAGAACTTGGGATGGAAAGAACTGGCCACTCCATTGTTTGATGAATCATGACTACGAAAGAGTAACAGGAAGAGAACAGGAAGAGATCACCAGGGACAGGAGAAAGGAGATGGAACCTGATCACTCCAATCGACCTCCCTACTACCTTGCCCCCTTCTTTCTCAGCAGACACAGCATCTAACATGGAAGAAAATAACGTGAACTCTAGACTTATACAAGTGTGTCACTCACTGGCTTGTCATTTTAGCAAGTAATTTAACCCCTTTGGGTTTGTTCCCCTGCTCGTCAAGTGGGTCTTTCCATCCCTCTACCACAGTTATTAGAAATGTAAGACAAAGTCTGTCTGTGAAGCGCACAGAGCGCCTGGTCTGTTACAACAGCTCAAAAAAACCCACCGGGGTTCTATTATTTCAGACTTCCTTATTTCAGAAAACACTGAGACACCAGGAAAGAACTCCCTCTAAACTGAACTGCTTCCTCACCAACTCCTCTCCTAAATCTTTCCAGTTCAAGGCCAATCATACCATTTACATCACGCTCTCAATCTTTCATTTATATTTTTCAAATGCTCCCTTCTCCACGGGTTCCTTCTCCCATAAACCACATCCAGCATCTTAAACAAGACACAATAACACACCCTCCCACAGTCCAGTGGTCAACTCTCTTCCCCTTCCAATTATAGCCACGTTTTAAAAAAGAACAGTTAAGACACACCACCTCCACTTCACTTCCCATTCACTTTTCAATCCACCCCAGTCAAGCGTTTCTGCCATCCCTCTAACTGAAGTGGCACCTATAAAGGTCATCCACCAATGACCTAACCGAAAAATCCAATGGACACTCTTGACTCTCTCTCACCTGCCCATCTGCAGCATTTGGCCCTGGGAAAAGACAGCACAGTACAGTGGGTTCACATTCCAGCTTTGCTACTTACTGCTCTTTAACTATGTCTTTAGTCTCTGTTTTTCCTTAAAAAGATATTCTGTTCCTTAAGTGTTATAAAGGAACTGAAATAAGAAAACTGTATGTCAAGGCACCTAACATATTAAATGCCTGCTGATTTAAGAAATACATGATCCTAAAGAATGATTCCTTAGTGAAAAGAAATGACAGGCAGCAACAACTACATCTAAAATGGAGAATTCTCCTCTGTAGCAGTTTAACAACCTCCATCCATCACGGAAGCAGCTTCCAGTGAAAGCAAAGAAACAGAAACACCTAGCAAGGCTGTGGGGCCAGCCCTTTCTCTGGCAGGTACATTGAAGCAGAGCTGGAGCACAGGAAAGCCAGTCAAAGGGCAGGGGAGGAACAGAAATCCTGAGATGGAGAGCAGAGGGTGTTTAAGGCCTGGGAGGGAGAACACCACAGGTCAGAACTATGAGGCAAAGAAAGGGCTTTTACTTTTTGTAGTGCCGGGCAAGAGCGATGGGCACACAAGAGACCTGTTAAGGCTGGTGTACACTGAGATTTGGCTTGTGTCTTTCTCAGGAGAATCAATACTGTGTGCTGTGGCTGGCTTACACTGATGGGTTTGTCAATAGGGTCTGCTCAGATCCTTTTGACTCTTAAAATCTATTATCCAGAGAGAATGCATCCAGACAGAAAATGTGATGTTAGGTCTAAACCAGAAAACCCACAACATGCCATTATCTTATCTTTGGAGGCAACATTATCCAAATAGAGGAGTAATTTGTAAAGATTTTACTTATTTATTTGAGAGAGAAAGAGAGCATAAGCAGGGAGAGGGGCAGAGGGAGAAGCAGACTCCCCGCTGAGCAGGGAGCCTGATGCGGGGCCCGATCCCAGGACCCTGGGATCATGACCTGAGCCAAAGGCAGACGCTTAACCATCTGAGCCACCCAGGTGCCCTGGAGCAGTTTGTAGTTATTCAAGAAAGTGGCTTAATGTGGGGATACCACCACACTAAAATTTTAAGATCAAAAGGATCAATTGTTAACAAAGATGTCTGCTCAAGTTTGGGGATTTTATTTTGTGTTTCAGATTATAAAAACCAGAGTAAATATAAAATATTACTATAATGCAATTAGAGTTAGCATTAACCAAAATGTTCAGATCCCAGAAGATCTCAATACTTATACCCTAGGTTTTACTTAGATTAAAATGAAGAAAGTAGTTAAGCAGGCTATGTATGAGAATCACTGAACATTTCAAAACTGGACCTGAATGGGGTCTCAGCATTTTTATTTTTTTTAATTCCCACTCTAAATTTTCTTATACATGTCAGGTTGATGACTCTTCAGTAACAAACTTATTCTTAAATGAACTGCCCTATCAGATAGCAAGAACCTGAGATATTTATTCTTTATATTCAAGAAATACTTCTTACCTGGCCAAAAAAAAAACTTAGGTATTCTCCACAGTAAAAGTCCCCATATCCTACAGTTCCTTTTAACCATGCATTCTATTCAAATCCCTGAAAGTTTCTAAATCGATTTATTTGCCAGGTAGATTGAAATAGGTTAGAAGATTGTAGAAGGTACTCAAGCATCAGATGATTTTAAACCCTTATTTAAAGGCTGGATTTTGTTATTTCCGTTTTTAACACCTAGGCTTCCCAGAGAGAATACAGAGGTCTTTGTTTAAAGTACTGAGCGGTAGGCAATAATTTCCACTCAAAAAAAACACTGTACTAAATACCTATGTGCTAAGCACCACTGCTTAAATGATGGCAAGTACAACAAAGTGAAATATACATTCTAACTATGAAATTGTCATATTTTTAACCTAAAAAAAAAGTACCTTTATGCATCAGAATTAAATTTTCCTTTGTTTAAAAAAAAAAAGTTGTCTTTATGTATATTGTTAAAAACCAGGCTTAAAAGGAGTAAACTGTTTTGATCAAAAGTGAAGTTCAATAAAAAAAAAAAACCCAATGGTCCAGTTTAGCCTAAAACAATCTCATTTCAAAATGAGTAGCAGGTGCCTGGCTGGCTCAGTCGGTGGAGCATACAGACTCTTGGTCTTGGGGTCATGAGTTCAAGCACCACGGTGAGTGCATGCAGTCTACTTTAAAAGAACAAAGGAGTAGCCATTATAGCATTAAGAGACCTACCTCCACTGCCCTCAGGATGTCTCTGAACACCGATCGCTGCTTTCTCTTGTCCACTTTGGCACGGTGCTTATTTCCATCTGTAGCCAAAGCCCTAAGCATCTGCGTCAAAGATTCCATGTCTTCGTAAAAAAAGTCCTGGTCAGGAAAAACAATTTTGTTTAGTTCGTTATTGGGTTCCCCCACCCTCAACCTTTCCTAGTGCTAACAAAGAACACTCCACTCCGGAAAATACCCAGCAGGGGTAAAAACAGCACCACAAATCTCTGAACTCTTTAAAGATCTTGGCGCACAGGCACACATTAATGCATTTACAACATCATGCCGAAGTTTTAATCCAGAAATGCTGACTACAAGATATACTACCACTAAATTAACATTCCCCTTCCAAGTATATCCAGATACATTCAACAAATACTTATTGTGCTTCTACCGTTTCAAGACATTCCTGGGGGCGCCTGGGTGGCTCAGTTGGTTAAGCGACTGCCTTCGGCTCAGGTCATGATCCTGGAGTCCCGGGATCGAATCCCACATCGGGCTCCCTGCTCAGCAGGGAGTCTGCTTCTCCCTCCGACCCTCTCCCCTCTCGTGCTTTCTATCTTTCATTTTCTCTAAAGACTTTCCTGGGATTTCAAAGAAGTTCAGTGAAACTGAGATACCACAAATACCAACACAGCTTCTATCCTTTGGCTCTTCAGTCCCCAAGGCACATAACCCCAGAATTCCAAATATTCTTATTCCAAAAGTACAAGCTATCAGTAATGCCTAAAGCACCTAGTTTCTAATATACCGGCCATATTTCAAATAAGCAATAAAGCATTTAAATCAGCTTGAGTAATTAATTACTCAAGCTAAGAAGATATTTTAATCCCTTTTGAAGAGAAGCCACGAAATGTGTTACTATTTGCTATTACCTTGATTTGACCCCCCTCCAAGGAAAAATTATCCAGCCCAGTAATGTATTGTATCAACTTTGCAGAGATTGAGAAATCCCGCTGTAATTGACCTCTGCAATCAGTAAAACTCAATCTAGTTTACAGTCTGAATCACTGAGTTCCATATAGTACTAACTCGGAAAAATAAATATTAAATATTGTAGGGAAATGTCTCTCTAACATGTTTGGGCATTAAAAAGAAAGAAAATGTAAAACATAAAAAAACAGTCCATAACTAGCTTCCAAAAGCCAATTTACTGGAGTTCAGGGTAACTCTACAGTAAAACTATATGCCCAGGGACAAATGGGCTCTTGGAGGTACAAATAAACACTTTAACTCCTATCAATAATATCAAGAAAACAGCATAACCACTATTACACAAGGGTGTGTGTGTGTCTGTCTGTCTCTTTTCTGCAGCACTTCCCACGTCAGGTCAGGTGGGGGATAAGAAAGGAAGAACTGGGGAAGGTCTGTCTATACTATATTTCGGTATATTTTCCTGAGTCAGCACATTATGTGGCTCCCAAGATCTGTAATTCTGCCCAGTAAATAGTCTGTCTTACTACAGGTTATGCTAGAGAGCCCCTAAAAGGCTACTACTAAAAGCCAGAAGGAGGAAGTAATCTGCACTTTAATGAACAGTTACAGTAATAACTACCACTTACATTGTATCTATGTTCTCAACAACCCTATGAGGTAGTTACTATTTTATTCTCCATTTTAAAGATACTGATACTGAGGCAGAGAAGTTGCCCAACATCATCCAACTAGTAAGGGTGGAAAAGACATATGAACCCGGGAGTATGTCACAGAGTACACTCTTACCTGTTTGGTTATAGAGCAGAGAGCTCTCACAAACAATTCCTAATTCTGCATGTCAGCTTATAATCATCTTAGCAAAAGGCTAATATTTCAATGCCATGAATTTGCTACCAAAACCCTAATTTGAATCAGCCTATGTATTCATCAACACACGATTTAATTAATTTTTTGAACACCCTGTAACTACCCCCACCACAGCCACACACTCTCTCCTTTCAAAAAGCTTACTTAACAAAAATAGCAAATAAAACTCTAGGCTCTGTTTTGTAACCCAGGTCATTTTTGTCCTTAAACAAGGACTTATCCAAACATGTTTAATTTGATCTGAGTTCTCCTAGCTACCTCATATGATTTATTAAACCCAGAGAACGTAAGATATGTGAGCAACAATAAATGTATATTTACAAATTTTTTAAAAAATTCCACATGTATAATTTAAACTGCATTATTACTTTACTTGTAAGATACACTTCAAAGGAAAAAGAAAAGAAATTACCATTTCTAGCCCACAGAATATTAAAAAATTGGGACATCTGGCTTCTGTGCCTTGAGGTTAAGGAGCCATTAACTAGCTCAATAAAATTAAATTGATTGCTAAACTTGAGTCCAATTTCTCATGTAAGTAGATTCATTCACTACTGAAAGCATTATAATAACTTCTTTCCATTCCTACCCTGCTATCCTTCAAAGAAAAGGGGAGAGGCTGGGGGAAGCCTAAAAAAGACACTTCCCAGATATTTTTAAACACAGGACTAGAATGGAATTATTCACTGTTAAATAACATATTTAATTCCAGAAAAGGTTTCATTCCAGAAATATAGTCTTTGTTCTTACATTAAAAAGCAGCTAATAAGTAAGCCAAGGTTCACAACAGAGGATACAAACCAGGGTGACCAAATGTCCCAGTTAGCCTGAGAGGAAAGGTTTCCTGGAAGACAGAATTTTCAGTGCTAACCCTGCAAGAGAACCAGGTAAACCAGTAAAGTTGGTCACCTATCACAAACTCAAATACCTTTGAGAGCCAAGTTGAGGTAATAAACATCCATGGACAGACAGTGGGTGGGGAACTGCAAGGCACATAACCCAGTCTAAAGGGCCATGTTTGCTTTCAGCTTTGGCTTAGAGAAGTTAAACAACAGTGACTAAACTCATCTGATCTCAAACCTATGTCGACTCAGTATTTCATCCATTTGTCTGACATTTATTATAAAGCATCCATGCCTGAATCACCTTAATATGCCCTGTGTCTTGAGAAATCCAAGCAGAACCACAAAGACTGTAGTAGACAACTCTCTCCACGAGTAATATCGTCCCTAAATTTGAGTTCTACAGACAGCAAGAGTTAAGTGTAATAAACTACACTCAAATGTTGCTCTACCAACCCCTACCCGTTTATGCTCTTAAAATTTTTGTATCACCACTGCCAAGAAGCAGGGCAATCAATCACTTTATTCTCAAGCTGGCCATACTCCAAAGTTATCATCCAATTCTTAATTATGAAGAGAATGGTAGAATAATGATCCTTGCGACACAATCTTTTTCCTCTATTCATCAGATACTTACACTCTCCATCCCTCTGGCCAATTCAAACATAAGTGCCAAAGATTCACCAGCAGCTATTCTCATGTTGACATCATCAGAAGAAAGGAGGCTTGGAAGTTTATGGAAATGCCTAAAAAACAGTCATTACTGTGTGAACACAATCAATTATGTCAATAAATGTTGTTTTTATAAAACATGAAGCTAAGAGTACATACATCTCAAGCTTTTTCTTCACTTCATTGATAGGGCATATGGTCAATAATAATGTCCATGCAAGAAGACAGCTGATATGAAGCACTGTATTAGGGGTGCTGCATATAACGTTAGTGTCTTTCTCTTTGAGATAGGACTTGGTGAAGATACTTTCCAAACATTCCAGAGTTGAATACAGCTCCTAATGCATAAGAACATGAAATAAGGTAACCACCTTAAATTTGAAATGTGCAAATAAGTGGAGTCAAGGGTTTTCTACTTACAGTAATGTCATCTGTAGCAATAAAACAGCAAACACCAAAGCAAGTTGCACACTAAAAAGAAAAAGAAAAAAATATAGACATTAATGTTTATAAGTTTCTTATTATTTCCGTATCTTCCTGCTTTAATACTTCAATGTGAAAATTTTCTCAACTACATGACTACACTGGTCCCAAGCATAGAATAAAAAGAGAGAGGGGTGCCTGGGTGGTTCAATGGGTTAAGTGTCTGCCAGGGTCCTGGGACAGAGTGTCTGCTTCTGCCTCTCCATCTGCACAGCCCCCCTCCCCACTCATGCTCTCTCTCTCGCTCTCAAATAAAAACGTTTAAAAAAAAAATACAAAAAGGGAAAGAATATAGGATCAAGAGTTAAGGGAAGTGGGTTTCAGCCCAATCTCTGCTACCAAACTGACAATACAACTTTAGGAAAGTTATTCAACTTCTCCCAGGTCTTCCTTCTTTAATCCAACAGATCCTTTTTAAACTTCCAACTCCAACTCAAAGACAAAGATGAAGTCTGCACATTGGAGATAAAGAAGCCTACTCTATTAAAAACCTTTAAAACACATTGTTTGTTTTAGGCTTTTAAGCATTTAAAACCATTTATATTCATCTCTTTTCACGAAGACTCTACTATGAAAACTTCTAAAAGAAATCAGTTGCCAAGAAATAAGCACACCAGGAGCAGAAATTTCAAATTTAAGTAACTGTCCTCAAACTTGCCACCTAAAGAAGGGTCTCATTAATTCGGATTTCACTTTTTTCCACATACGCTGAAAACCGGTCAGGAATCCTATAACTGCCTTTTGTTAGGGGAAAAAAGAGGCTAAACAAGTGATGACCCTACAGGACTACCATGGTATAAGTTACCTAATAAAATAGAGCTCAGAATACAAAATTTATATACAATCTGCTTGCAACATAAACAGGATCCATTAGTTTTCAGAACACTGCTCTAAACAAATAAATCCTATGAAAACAATTTCTAATTTTTGAGATTTTTTTATTCTCCATTTCCCTTTTCTCCATGTTTTCACTAAAATCCTCTCATCTTGTTCCAAGTGCCACTAAAGCGTGAAGTCTTTAAGTCACCATTCACATGCCCAACTTCCCGGTATCCTGAGGACATTTGTGGCATTCATCTGTTCAGTGTCACTATTTATTTTCATTATTTCGTCCTGGTAAAAACTGGACACTGCTAAAATTAATAAGTAGTCTAGGCATGATTCTTGATAAAGGAAACTTCCGATCTATAATCCCTCGTCCTAAACAAGAAGCAGAGGCAAAGCCACATCTCTCCTTTTGAGGCTTCTAAGACAAAAAAGGTAGCTTCACAATTAGAACTGCCTACATTCCTTCTGCTAATATGAGACTGTCAAGTACTTTTTTTTAATTCACAGCGAGCATCAAACGTATTAAAAAAAAAGACAACACACACACACGCAACGAAAATTAAGGGCTCACTACAAGTATCCACCCAACAGTGTTTTCTGTCAAACATTTCAAAAATACCTCTATAGTCCTGCATGATTTAAAAGTTGCATGAAAACCCCCAAAAAGGGGATAAAAATGTAAACAGCAAAAGCTTAATTAGCTATTTTGGGATTACGAACTGCTGGAGGGCAAGAGATTCCTATGAAGTCACCAAAATTCTATTTCTTTGCCTCTGGGGAAACAGCTTAACTATTCCCAGCCTCCATATAGTTGGTAAACCAAGGAACCGGTCACTAAAGTGATGTGTTCTGGCCTAAGCATCTGTCTTCTTTCTTTCCCCATCTAGCCCCTACAGCTGCCATACGGAGGACCTAAAGGTAGGACAGAACTGCAGGATGGACACCCAAGGACTCTGCCAACTTACACAGTGATATGAGCACGAAATAAACTTTTATTAAGCCGCTAAGATTTCAGGGTTTATCTGATACAAAGATCAATGTCATCTACTTTAAGTAATACTAAAGAGAAAGCTAATGTGAAAACTCAGTATTAAAAATATTAAAAAGTTTCAAACTTGAACTGGTTTCTTGTTAGGAAAACAGCCTAAGATTTAAATCTACTAAGATTAAATTCTTAAGATCCAATAAGATTCTTAAGATTCAAATCCATTTTCCAAACCCAGAAAGATGTTTGTGATAATCACTTAAGCACACCAAAAAAAAAGAAAAACCCCACAATCTAAAGTCAACTGTCATGAGTGATAAATATCAAACAATTAGAGAATGAAAGGTTTTTCAAAACTCATGACATGACCAGATGAGTATCTCACAAGTTACAGATTCCCACATCTACTCAAATCCACCCATGGAAATAAAGCATTCAGTTTTTTCATAAGGACTTAAAGGCCACAGCAGCCAAGTCTTTTAAAAATACCTATTACGTTTTCTTAGAATAAAAAATAACCACCCAATAAACACTGTCTAGATCACTTAAGTTCCAAACAAAATTATTCTTCAATCATCCTAAATAACTCAAGATAGTATAAAGATGAAGAGATTTGCTCCAGCTGGGATGTTCTATGGTATCTCAGAAAATTTAAGAAAACAATTGTCCTATTAAGTCTGCTCACCCAAACTAAAAGACAAATGCAAATAAAACGTTAGTTAAAAATCTACTATTTTAAAAATGTAACCTTCCTAGATCATTCATCAGAGTATCTGGATATCATGCTTAGACAGATTTATAAATTAAAAAATCATATACTTACAGTTTGCCTAGCCTGGATACTAGCTGTTCCATCACAAATTATTTTCTTTAGGATTGGTCCAAGAGTTTTTAAAACCTCTTCACTTTCAATTCCAGGGCCCAACTGAATACAAAGAACCGATGCTAATGCTGCAGCCGCACGCTGCTCATCACTCTTACCTATGAAAAAAGCAAAGGTAAAACCATGAAAAATTATTTTGAGAGGACTAATTTATTAAGACAGCAATTTCCCAAATTTGTACAATTCCAAAATATTATCTACCATTTACAAAACCCCATAATACGTCCTAAGCTTTGACATTAGCTGCAAACCTAGTGAGCTCAAACTCTGGAAACCGATCTGACTCAAATCCTAGATTCACCACTTATTAGCCAAACGACTTACAACTCCTATTCTCAAAACATATTTCCTCAGCAGTGAAATGGAGATTAACATCTGTCTTAAGGGAACACTGTAACAATTCAGCAAAATAACGTGTTTCAAGCTGACCTGACCTTCCAGATCTTTCATATACTCATAGAACAGTGCTCAGGTAGCCTTTGAATTAGTCTCTCAAGCATTTCAGATGTATGCAGCCCATGAGGTAAACTAAACCTTCAAGGTTTCCCCTCCAATTTTTTTTTTACAATAAATAAAGGATTAAAAATAAAGGATACTTGGGGCGCCTCAATGGCTCTGCTGGTTAAGCATCTGACCCCCTGATTTCAGCTCGGTCATGATCTCGGGGTCATAAGATCCAGCTCTGCATCTAGCTCCGCGCTCAGAGTGGAGTCTGCTTGCCCCTCCCCACCCCGCTTACACATGCATGCTCTCTTTCAAATAAAATCTTTAAAAATAAATAAATAAAGGATTCTTTAAAACCATACAAAAACTGCAGACACCAAATTATTACCCGACAAATTAAGAATCTATAAAATAAGCAGACTGGAGTGGAATTTTTAAAGGTCATCTAATCCAACTACCATTACAGGAAAGTTTCAAAACAGTTGGCTGTGCTATCAACTATACCACTAAGAAGTTATATAACCTTAGACCAATCTCACGTTTCCTAGGCCTTTATTCTGTACAATGAGAGAGATGGAATGGATGAAAGGCTTCCAAATACCCATTCTTATGACAAAGCTTTCACCTGAGGTAAAATGAGAAAAACAAGGACATAAAGGTAACAAGCTCATTCAATTTAAAAGAGGATGTGTGCTTCCCACATTTCTGGTGCTAGAAATATCTTGTTAATAAAGACCTAATGATAGAAGATCATTATTCTCACAATATTCTTACTTAGCAAAATAATTAAGCTGGCAGGCCCAGATCTTTTTAACTTTGGTGGTTCCTAAAACTGAAGTCTGGTGATACTAGACTTAATCTTCAAGGTCTCTCTTCATTCTTAAAAGTTCTATGATTATAATACGACTTCCAGAATCTCTATTACAAAGTTCTAGAATTCAAATATTTCAAGGGATATCCTGAAAATGATGTCATCCACAGGTATGACAGGTTTTAAGTAATTGCAAGGGAAAATGAGCTATGTGATTATAATACTTTTTTAAATTTCAGGAAAATGAAGTAGGGTGGCTTTTTTAATAATAACTTTTGTTAAAATCTGACACAAGCTTTCAAGACTTTCTTATACATGAGAATGGCAAACACCTCTTCCAATATAAACAAGGATGACAATCCACCACAATCCTAGTTTCAAGCTGTTTATTACATAAACAAAAACAAAGCTTCTAACAAGTCTCATTTTGAATTTGAATAAGCATGGTGTATTCTTGACAAATGTAAAGTTAAAGAGTGAGCCAGTCTTCCATTTCCGTTAATAAATATTACTGCAAAGAAGGTGGCAAATTCCTTTTTAGTTCTATGCCTGACTCAAAAATAAGGACATTACCTTTTTTCAGGCAGCGTTCAATGCTGTCAGTCAAAGTCATTCTTCTTTCCAGAATAAATTCATAAAGCATTTTTGAAGCCAGTGCATTTTTAATACTTTCAAGAGCTGCCTGTCTTGTCTTCGCACTATTTAAAAAAAAAAAAAATCGGAAGATCACTTTGGAGGGTACCATAGGTCAATGACTTATAAAAACTACACTATTTCCCTCTCAATTTCTCTTTATAGATTTGTAGATTCTTTCTTTCTATATAATTGTCATCAAGCTCTAACTATTTTTCAGTAATTTGTTTCCACAATTCACCTTATTACACAGAAGACATGTTCTCCTGTATTACATATTTAAGCAAACTCACATTTTTTTGACCCTACAAAAGTCTAGACTTCATGTTTGCATCTTCGGGACTTTTTACTTCTGTTTGTTGTAAGTTAGGTCTAAAAACTACTGTGAAATAAGAAAATTTAGCTTTGCTATTTTTCACATCTGCAATAAAAAGTGGACAAGAGGCTTAAAGCAAAGTTTAGCTGTTCTTTCCAGCTGAAGATTAACTTTTAATCCAACAAATCCATTTCAATTGTAATCAAATACAGTTATATGCTATTATGCTAGAATAATGACTAATCTGAGTCCATTTAAATTCTAGTGGCATGTTCCTATCTATGTTAAAAGTCCAAAGAAACAAGAAACATTAAAAGGTCCAAAGTAAACAAATCAGGCTTTAGAAAAACATACTGTTAAATCAGAGAACTGTATGTAATACACCTAAGTGGCTGATCAGAATCACACAGAAGAACAAAGTTTCCAGTATCTCCTACCTCTTATCCAGGGTCAAATCAATGAATCCCTTCAATTTGTACTCTAAGTCTTCTTGAGTTCCTTCCTCGTCAAGGACTTCTGGTCCTAAGGAATAATATAAACTAACCATTGTAATTTAAGTAGAAAAAAAGCAGATAGGAAACAGTGATAGTGTGCTTTAGCTATAAGAATTCTTCTATCTAAAACACCCTTTTATCTAAAGTTGCAAATTTAAATTTAAAACTCATACCATCTTCAGCAAAACTGGAAGGATCGCTGTAACCACTGCAATGGCTCATTGTTTCAATTGATGCATCCTCATCACTAAAAGGTTGAACATTTCGATGCTGGCCACCTATTAGGTAAAAGAGGATGGAAGTAGATGACTATGTTGCCACATGCTCAAAAATTTCACTTGGGAATTTTTAAATTTATTTAGGAGAAATGCAGTAATAAAAACCCAACCTTATTTAAAAGGGATGATTACGCTACAAAAGAACATACTAAAATATTCTAAAATAAGTCAATTCACCTGTTTTTCACACCACCAACTGTTTACAATATACATCAACTTCAGAAATATATCAAAAACTGGTATTACGGTTGAAAAAAGTACTTCCAAAACATGACTTCCAATCATGAAGACAATGAAAATATATCCAAAAAGAGTATGAAATAATAGGCCATAAGAATGAGAAAAGCATATTTTTCAAGGAGAATGACTGAGCTTAGTAAACATAAACATGGTAAATGGGTTAATTTTTAAGTTACACACCATATGTGAAGAATTGAGACATTAAGAGATAGTAGTTTTAAAGATAACTTGAATTACGGGGGGAAAAAAGGGGGACCTGGCTGGCTCAGTCAATTAGGCATACAATTCTTGATTTCGGCTCAGGTCATGATCTCAGGGTCATGGGATCAAGCCCCATGTTGGGCTCTGGGCTCTAAGTTCTGGGCTCAGTGCAATCTGCTTGAGATTCTCTCTCCTTCTGCCCCTCCCCCTGCACATGCACACATGCATGTGCACACTCTCAAATAAATAAAACCTTTACTAAAAAGGGGGGGTAAAATAGAAATTGTGGCTTTTGATATCGTATAAAAGCCTGTTAGATGATTCACCTTTAAAAGAAAGGTTAACACATCCAACAGTTTAAAAACATCAGGGCTGTTACTAAATAAAAATCTTTTTATTTTTTAAGATTTTATTTTTTTAGTAATCTCCACACTCAACTTGGAGCTTGAACTCACAACCCCAAGATCAAGAATCACATGCTCCACCAACTGAGACTCTCAAGCGCCCCAAAATAAATCTTTTTTAAAACTAGAATCTTTCCTCAAGTTAACTTAAAAAATAAATCCACAGTTATGTTTTGCTTTTCAGGGATTTAATAATAAAAGTACACTAATCATGAATTACACTGAGCAATGAGTTAAAGTCATTCCCAAAATCTGCCCCAAAAGTGACTTTGAGTCACCTGATTCACCTTTGAGCCCAAGTTCCCTTATCAGTAAAATCAAAGATTGCACCAAACATCACCAGGTGCCTATGTTCAAGAAATTCATGGCACTTATTACCTTAAGAAGAGTTTGTTTGTTTTTTAATTTTCTATGTTGAAGCTTGCTAACTTTAGTTTTTTGGGGATTTTTTTTATAGTTTTTTTTTAATCAAAATAGAATTTGGCTGATTTTTAAATCAACACAAAGTGGCAAGCAGCCTTCAAATTTGCTTGCTATCCCAAAGGAATAACTTCACCAATCAAGGTAGGAAAAGCATAAAGAATAAGCTATGAAGCCAGGATACCATAACATATTAATCAGAGTGCTTAGGGCAGGAATAAACAAATAAACCAAGATCTATGACATCATATTCTATTTCTGGATCTATCTTCATTGTCTTCATGATTTGAAGTCATGGGAATAGTTGAGAGTCATCTGATTTCTATTAATACATGTTCACAAGCAATTCATATTTTTTACTTTTCATATTCAGTCTACTTCTAAACTGCCAAGAAGAATATTCCTATACAGCTCTTACTCAGCTTTCTCTAAGTTTCAATTAGTTTCCAAGACTACAGGAAAGAGAAGTTAAACAAACAAAAACAACAAATCAAGAAAAAGAATCCTGTATGAATATCTGATATCTAGATCAAATTCATCCACCATGCAATCCCAAGTAATATTAGTTAGGTGACACTCTAGACACATCAAGTCCTTATATTTTAGGGAGTTTAGGTTCTGTTCTTCTATTTAAAAAAAAAAAAAAGCTCTCAAGTGCAATGAAAAGTATGAATACTTGCCAATTTTATCAGCTTTCTAGAACCTCCCACTAACTTAAAAGAGAAAGAATTTAAATGGAAAATCAATTAAAGTGATAGGGAAGTTGGTTATCTTTTGATTGTACATGTTAAGATCTCATTTGAATCCCATCTCTTCTAAGTGGCTTGTAAGTACAAATTTGTGACAACTTTCTGTCTCTTCTACTCACTTATTATTTATTCATTTAAAAAGAAATACATTCACACAGAACCAAATTAAGGTCTTAAAAAAGTAAATCCCACTGCATACCCCACTTACCAGATGTAAGCACAGATAACAAATACTAGTGTAAACTTCCAAAGATATCCAAAGCCTGTACAGTTTTATAAACTCATCGAAGAATTCTTTTCCATTTGTTTAAATAAGCTAAAATTCACTGTTTAAATTTACCTTTTCTACTGGGGAGGGGGGGAAGCAACAGCAATAAGACTGAGGAGAGATGAGGAAAGAGCCTGGAGGTAAAATTTGAAAGGCAATCCCCCAATACCACCTGAGGTTATTCAGTCAGCACCAGGAAGAAAGGAAATTTGAGAACCTCTGAGGGAATAAAGATTTGTGATTCGAGGAAGCCATTAGTAACATCGTTACAACTTTTAAAATGACTTTGGCTTGAGGCTTCACCATCATTTGTTCCACCAACAAAAGGTAAAACTTAAGAGAAAAAAATGAATAAGGACGTCCCAGACAATTCAAATTTACTTCAGAGAAGGAAAAGCTGAAATACAGAGAATAGAGGTATCCCCTATTCACACAGAGCAATCAGATGCTACAACAAACTAATTTTGTATTTTACATCTTGATCAAGAATGAATTTCATGGGCGCCTGGGTGGCTCAGTTGGTTAAGCGACTGCCTTGGGCTCAGGTCATGATCCCGGAGTCCCGGGATCGAGTCCAGCATCGGGCTCCCTGCTCGGCGGGGAGTCTGCTTCTCCCTCTGACCCTCTTCCCTCTCATGCTCTCTATCTCTCATTCTCTCTCTCAAATAAATAAATAAAATCTTAAAAAAAAAAGAATGAATTTCATGAATATCCTGGTCATACAATCAAAACAGAGATATAAAGAAAAGGAAAAAAAAACTGCAACTATCATAATTCATTCCTATTGTCAATTATTAAATGTTTAATACAGGAACACAGGTTTTTATGCTGCTATAAATCCTACAGGAGAGCGTTTTAAACGCCACCTTCCAATTATCTTCAACAAGAAAACCGGACTATTCACTAATGAACAAAGGCGTTATCATTCCGAGGATCGGATTAGCAATTGTGTTGACAAATACATAATGGCCAGTAGTTCCGATGGGATAAAGTCTGAGAATTCCAATGTTTAACTTCAAAATCTCGACCAAAAAATTACTAAAAGAGATGATTTCACCCAGTTTAACTTAATACTCGATTTAAGTTTAGTGGTGTCTCACAGGACTTTCCGCTTTGAAGTCCTTTTTTCTTAACCCTATATAGTTAGTAGTAGAGAATCATGAGTTCATCGAAGCACCTACCCATCTAGAAAAAGCTTCAACTTTGCAGTGAGAACACACACAAAAAAATCTCAACTCTTGGCCAGTTGCAACCGGAGTTCCCCACCACCTCGCCCATCCCTGTCTCAGGGCACAAAACCTATAGAATGTAGCACAAAGGAGAACGCGGTTTCTGCCCCGGGGAGAAGGAGGTCTCCTGGACCGGCCGGCCGCAGAGGAAGCGGGGGCGCGGGATTTCTGCAGGTACCAGTTAGTAGTAGGAATAGAGCCTAGGCCGGGACAGTGGCCCCGAGCCTCCTACGCCTCCGCCCAGCCAGGTGGACACGCGGGATGCCCAAGAAGGCAACCGAACGGGATGCCACACGGACGCCTCTGCGTCACACCGGCCCCACAACGCAAGGGCCAGGCCTCGTGACGCAAGAGCCCGGCCAAACCCGCCGGACCTCGGGCATTCCCGAGAACTCCATGTTGGGAGTCGGTGGGTCAAAGGCGACCACTGACAGCAAAACGCAAATCCTATTTCGGCCCCACCCTCCGTCAGGGTGAGGGCTCTGAAGAGCAAGCACCAGCTTCCGAGAACACTGCCTCTCCCGCCCAGCAATCCGTCACCCCGGACCCCGATCCACTCTCGGGCCCTAGAACCTATTCGCGCCTCCCTCCTCCGCGCCCCCAAGGCCGGTGCCTAAGAGTTCGGTTCGCAAGCCAGATCCAAATCGCGCGAGGTACTGCACCCAGGGCACGCTGGGAATTGTAGTTTGCCAGCCAAGCAAAGCGCCCGACCCACACATATGTCCTGAGGGATGGAACTACAAATCCCACGGTGCCCGAAGTTAAGAGACTCGCTAGCCCGGCCGGCAACTGGGATGCCGGCGGCGGGGATACCCCCTTACCTGTTGTCGCCGCCGTCGCTGCAGCTGCCCCTGAGCCGCTGCCACCACTGCCACCGCGGTGGGGAGTGTTCCGCTTCTTATTCTTCGGCATCGTGGGACGCCCGGTGCCGCCTAAACTCGGAACTTAGCGAGGATCAGCCGATGGAGCTGCACTTTTTACTCGTGCGTCTGTGCGGCGGGCGGCTAAGAGGCGAGTCTTCAGCTAACAACAGAGGCGAGAAGCGGCGGGGGTACGAGTGGGCGGTGGCAGCAGCAGAAATCCCCGTGAAGAGCTGTGATCGGAAACGATACATGTTTCTCTCTAGCGCGGGAGCTAAGGCGGGGCGGGCTGGGCCACGACGCCTTAAGTAGCAAGACCGCCGCCTGTCGTCACCACCTGTGGGCGGGACTCGAACTCTCACCAGCCAATCCCAATAGCTCTCCACACCAGAGTCCTACCTCCGGCGGCCGATGGATGCTGACTACCAATCCCATGTCGCAAATCTTCCAGCAGCGCCCAAGGAGCAACGCTTCACTGCCGCACTGAATTCTGGGAAATGTAGTAAGGCTTGGTGGAAAAGTTCACCTCCTAGCTCCTCCGGGCTTTTCTGAGCATTTGCTTCCCTACTAGTGACCCCTCCCCTGCTTCTCAGCGGCCCCGCCTCGGAATAGACCGAGTCGTTCCCGGGCGATGAGCATTGGAGCGAGTATGCCTGATGACGAAGGCCAGCTTCGAACTGGGAGCTACGCAATCAGCTTAGCTCATCTTTGTCTCGCGGCTTGAGTTCTTCTGTTTAATCTTTCCCCTGCTTCCGTGCAGCTTCCGCCCAGGCACAGCCATACCCCTGCTCGGGAATACCTCCAAGGTTTCAGTTGTTGAATTAGTTTAGCGATCACCAATATCTATAACTGAGGGGCTGTGTGCTCCCCTACCTCCAAAAAAAGGTGTGCTTTAATCTACTTAGTCGTGTAGTTCGTGTATTTCTCCTATTATAGACTAGAAAGATCTGGCGATTCAGTGTCACAGGAGTCACATTTCTACACAAGAATGAGTCCTTTGACAATTCTACCTGCCAATTAGGAGGTCATTCTGGGATAAGAGTTGGTTTCTGAGAATTTAACAGCTGGTAAAACAAACATAAACTATAAATATCAATATCACAGAGTTTTTATTTTCCAAAGCGCTCTTAGATGTGTCTTCCTTGTTACATTTGTTATGTATTTGGGGTCTGTCATTAGGTTCATGTATTATGCTTATGACAGCCCAAACTCACTGACTCACCTCAGTGTAGGTGACTCATCCCCCGTTCCACCTCTCTCCTGGGCTCCTTCTCTTATTTTCAGCTGCCTGTAGAACATTTCCACCTGAATGTGCCACCAGCGCCTCAATCCAATATCCCTAAAACAAGAACTGTTTCCCTCTTCCTGTGCCCTTTGTGTGTTCACAGTACTACTATCCTCCTATATGTCCAAATTCAAAAACTCAACTTCATACATGGTTCCCCGCTCTCTTTAGTGCCCCCCAAAATAATCAGTTTTACAATAAAACTCCAAAGTTCATGTCCTATTCTCCAGTCACACATGGCCTCAGTTCAAAGCTGGGCACCTAAAGGGATCTTCCAGTCGTTTCACCAAGGTTTCATACATGATAATGCTGCCAGGTTTATTTATGATCCCCTAGTTTACTAATTCACTAATTTAATAGTTGCTCAAAAACATTCCTTTGTTCCATTACCAATATGTTCAATACCAACCCTCTTAGCTTGGCCTGGACTCCCTTTCCAGCTCCATCTCTCACTGCTTCCCCATACACATACCATTCTTCAGCCATGTGAAGCCTTAGGGAAGCCTTAACCAGATTGTTTCTTCCTCCTCACAACTCTTAGCACTCTTTGTAATGCTCTGTTGCCACTTATTATATCCCTACAGGTCACATAGCCTGTTCAAAGATACTCTCCAAGGGGCCACATTTTAGGGTGGCTTTTCCTTCGTTTAATCCTGAAACAGCAAGTAAGCCACACAGAGCATGTAAACCAGGTAAGGATGCAGGTTGGGGGACATAGCTCCTATGATTTCCTTCCATCATCCCTCCACATGACTACATATCTGAAGTGTAGCGACCTTGGCCCACATTGAGTGAGATGACCCCAGGTTGGAGGAGCACAGAAATCCATACCTTTTATAACACCAGGCTCTCCATCATCCAGAAATAACTAATACTACACATAAGGCAATAATTTTGCTACAGTGTGAGCACATTGCCATCCATACAAGCTGTATGTCCAGGTTCCAGGCTTTGAATGTGTGCTTTGCCTGCATTTGGGGGCATGTTCCTTTTATCTACATCCATGTTCATGTCCACTTAGAGGCTTTTCTGGGGCAGGCCCAGCCATGGCCTACCACATGATATGCATACGTGTTTTACATTTATTTACGAACACATCTGTCATCTAATAAAATTGTTGGCTCCCCAAGAACAAGAACCTTGGTTTCATTATCTCTATTCCTCATGGCACGTAAAAAAGTATTATCTTTGTAATTATAGATAGTCAGTATATGTTAAATGAATGGTTAAGAAATAATTGTTGGGCGCCTGGGTGGCTCAGTTGGTTAAGCGACTGCCTTCGGCTCAGGTCATGATCCTGGAGTCCCGGGATCGAGTCCCACATCGGGCTTCCTGCTCAGCAGGGAGTCTGCTTCTCCCCCTGACCCTCTCCCCTCTCATGCTCTCTCCCTATCTCATTCTCTCTCGCAAATAAATAAATAAAATCTTTAAAAAAAAAAAAAGAAAAAGAAATAATTGTTGACTATATTTCTCTAGTTCAAAAACAGGGAGAAACATGACATACATGGAAGATGCCTCAAATTATGAACTCTGAGAGGTACTTTTGATAGAATCATCTTAATATATTTTTATGTCTGTAGCTACCTCAGATCAGTACAAGTGCCAGAAAGATTTAGTCATAGACCTCATAAGACAGTTGTCCTTAATTCAACATGTTGGCTTTACAACATATTTAAAGAAATTACAAGACTCCCAACAACATTGAGTCACCAAATGACTACAAACAGCAGGAGGAAAGGGGAACAGGACACAGGGCTTTCTCCTAGTCAGGATTTGCCTTTTTATTCAAGGAAAGAATACCTTCTCTAGGGACTTCTGCCTAGATCTCACTGGCCAGACTTTTGTCACACAATGATCCCTGGCCAAAAGGGAATCTAGAAGACAAGTATTTTCAGCTGGGCTTATTGACAAGCAAATCTGAGGTTCTGTCAATAAGAATAAGGGGGAGATTGTGGATGTCGGGTAGGCAGCTAGCAGTGTCTCCTTCATGTACTATGAGGCAAAGTTTTTCCATGCTCTAATAAAATATCACATATTTGTTACCAACTTGACATTATGTGCTGCCTCTCACCTCTTAGTAGTAGAAACATGTTTCCTCCTCCTGTAAAATACAACCTACTCAGTTTAACATTCCAGCTAACAGATATCACTATCAAGTAAATATCCTCATTGTTGCAAAAATAAATTGTACATTAATCTGAATTTGTGGGCACACCTGAGAAGAGTTCTAAGCTCCCAGTGGGTCTGTATATTGAGAAATATGGTTCAAGAACAATTAACACAAATAAGACTTGGTATTCAAACCTCCTTTGAAGGCATAAATATAAAAGGTTGTCTTTGAATGACTTTAGTCATGGCATCTCAAGAATCCTTGAGATTCTTTGCATAGCATTAAGCAAAATTAAATGTCTCCCAGATCCAGCTGAGACTTGTCATAACCTAGTTCCTGCCTATCTCTCCCAGCTCATCTCTCATCATCTAACAACACAGTCATATGGCAGAAGGGAAGGGACTGTGTTGTCAGTTCTTCCTCTTACCCCTCTACCAGCTCCAAGCCAAAAGATCTTCCCTTCTGCCATATGGAACTCCTGGCAGGTCTCGGAGCTTATCATGCCCAACGCCCGGCTACCTCTCCTGCTCCTCTTCTCACCCATACACTTTGCCTAAATGTCTCCTTTGCCACCTCAGAATACAAAGTTCACTCCCCTCCTTAAGACCTCTGTAACAGCCCTCCCTCACCCCTGAGCTTCCACAATGGCCATTCAGCTCTCAGCTCAAGTGACACCTCCCTGAGGAGGCTTCTCCTACTCTCCATTCAGACGTGGTCCCCTCACCCCACTTACCACCACTCCATGCACATTATTCTCCTAAAGCACATCTCGCCACCTAATGTTTCTCAGGTTCAGTCATTATTTCCTCTTGGCCCTACTACAATGTCAAAATGACGAGAGAAAGAGATTTCATTTTATTCACTGCTGTATCTTCAGTATTGGCTCTTAGTAGATACTCATGTTTACTGAATGGATAAATGGATAAATAACTCAATGTCACTCCTATGCCTGGAACATCCTTCTCCCCTCATCTTTTAAGTCACAGATCCTGGGCCTCCCTCCCCAACCCCACCAGGTTTAATGTCTCTCTTCTATGTTCCTATATAGTGCCTTCCCTAGAATAGCATTAATTATATGTATTATAATTCTTGATTACCGTTTCCCCATCAGACACAAAGTGGGCAAAGCCCAAGATCATCATTACTGAATCAAACACCAGAGCTTTACAAGTACCTGAGCTTTACATATAGCACCTTTGTGCAAATTACAAAGCGAGGCTGGGGCACCTGGCTTGATGGGTGATAATGAGCTGGAATTCAGCCCCCTCTCTCCCTTCATCAGGGAACAACCTGTCCATCCATACACAGTGGCCCCGGTAGACAATAATTGTTTAATTCAGTGAGGGGGTTTATATATACAGGATTTCCTGTATATCGGAGCAGTTTTCTTAAGGACAGAAACTAAGGTGGAGGGAAAGGATGGCACTAACAATTACTGGAAGTTCCCTCCGCTGCTGGTGCTGTTGTAGGGTTTTTTTCTCTTTTTTACCACTTTATTGCAGTATGATTGACATACAAAAAGCTGTACTTGTTTGATGGATACCACCTGATGAGTTTAGAAATAAGTATACACCACTGGAACCATCACCACAATCAGTGCAATAAACATATCCATCACCTCCAAAAGTTTCTTCCTACCCTGCGTGTGTGTGTGTGTGTGTGTGTGTGTGATAAGAACACTTCATTGTAGGTTCATCTCACGCATCTCATACACTTCTTACAATGACCGTATGCAGACAGATTAGTTTTAACATTTTGTGGATAAAGAACTGGGCTCAGGGAGGTTTTGCCACTTTCCCACGGTTGTACCATTAGTAAATAGTTTGTCTGTGATTAAAGTCCAGGCCCATCTGATTCCAAGGTTGTCCTTGGCTGACCTCGGCCACATGGGACCCTGA